TAACTCGTGTCTATTATTTAATAGATTATTATTATTCAGAAGTTTAATAATGTGCAATTTTTCATGGAGGCACAAAGGGCATGGGTCATCCCAAGATTTACATATTCTAGCCTTGTCAATAATTTTCCATTTAACTTTTGGTGTCTTATTTGTTTCCTTCAAGTGCCAAAAATATTTTGATAGTGAAGTCTGGTTTCTTTTGTTTATATTATTAAAGGAGCACTTGTGCTGCCTCCATCTATCTTTAAAATTATTCTTCGTTGACCCAATGTATATCATATTAGTGCTAGGGCTCTCTGTGGATGAAATAGTACATTGGTATACCACTGAATTAATACAACATTTATTTTCTAATGGGCAGTCTTCTGGGTTTCTACAGTTACATAATTTTTCCCTATTATCATCTGATTTTAGTGTAGAGTTTTTATTAATACTGTTTTGGCATGGGGGTTTGTTCAAGATCTTATTATTGTGTTTTTTTATTATGCGTTCAAGATTATCAGAGCAGCTGTAGCTCAATTTTAGGGTGTTCTTATTGAATATATTACTAAGCTTACTATTGGTGGGGAAGTGTTTATTAATTAGAGCTAAGAATTTCTGTCCTAGTTTAATACTAACCCTTTGGTTGAACGGAGGGGTGTACCATATGATATTTCTTTTCCTGTTTTTTTTTCCCATGTCCAGTGCAATTTTCTTTGTAGTTAATGTTAGCATTTTTATAACCACTATTTTTTAGGGCAGTGTTATAGAAGCTATTATGTTTTTGGAATATTTCCCTGTTTGCGGAGTTAAGGCTAATTCTATTTTCTATTGATGAGGGTATATGTTTAATTATTGATGGAGGATGGTTTGACTTCGGGTGTATGTATAAAGGGTTAGCATTTGGTTTTCTATAAGGTTGGTATGTATTGTCTGGTAAGTCTAGAGTTACGTCGAGGAAGTTAACCCTTTTCAAATTAGAAGAGACAGTTATCTTTAAGTTTAGTTTCTTAAATTCATTAAATATAATTTTTCTGATTTTTTCAATCTTAAAACTAGTAGAACTCCTCACCACCATGAGCCCGTCATCTCTATACAGCCCGATGTCCTTTAAAACGCATTTATGAGCACAAAACAGACCTCACAAAAAACAACTTTGCTAATGCACTAGTCATACATAGAAATAAATTCAACCACAATTTAGATTTTAAAAATGCTACACTCATAAAAAAAAAGAAAATAAATCACTCAGAAGGAAAATCCTAGCGATTGCCGCCATTGAATATTACCCAAATATTAATCTCTACACCCAACACAGCAATAGTAACAATATCTTCACACGTGACAGTAATTGACGTAATTTTCAGTTAACAATATGAAAAGAGCGTTCTCTAAATTCTTCCAGTTGCTAAGGACATTTTGTTTTTGTTATTATTAGTTACTTTGTTTAAATAAATTCATTTCAGTTTTTTGCCTTGGGAAAGTCCACATTCGACGAAACGCGTCGGCAAATATTACAGTTTTCCTATTGTCATTTATAGTTATATATATTGTCTTTTCTACAGGTTAACTCTGAGATTTTTTTATATATATATATATATATATATATATATATATATATATATATATATATATATATATATATGAAATAGTCTTTGAATATTCTCTATTCTCAGCACTGAAAGCTCTCCTGGTTGCCTTTTGATCTGTGTTTTCATTTGCACGGAACATCCTTTTATTCGCTGCAACCTTAGCTCTTTTGACTGCAATCTGCCCCCCCCCCCGGAGATTTCTTTTTGCGTATGTGATAGGGAACAATAAACTAGAGAAGAACTCAAAATTGATCGCTGCATTTAAGTATTGCATTAATATTTAAGCTTACCTTTTAAAAGCTCAACGATAATTCTTCTGCCGCCATTTTAATTTAAAGAAAATTTGATATACGTAGGTCCTTACTTTACGTTTAAACAATTACTTTTATTTCATGGGTGACTCTCGCAATTAATTTCGATTATTCCCAGATTTATTTCCAAGTTATAAAAATTGTTATCGTACAAAATAATTCGTCACAAAAATCACTTATTAATCGCATCTATAACAGTTTCCCAAAAGATTGGCTTTCATGTATAGAAATATTTTTTCAAACGTGTATTGTAGGTAGATTACGCAAAAGTATAGCAGAAAGTGGTATAAGCGAGCTGAGTTCGAATTCCGGACTAGTGTTTTACGTTCATTTTTTTTTTTACAAATGCCCTTGGGGAAAGTATGAATCCGTCTCCTCTCCCCCAACAATTATGAATTAAATAGCAGAATAGGCTGACCACTCTAGCCTAGAATGGCAACATAAAAGGGGAGAGCTTACCACTATCTTTCCTCAAGAACCCACAGGAGAGGAATCTGTAGAGCGTCATAATCTCCTCTGTCCATAAGATATATGGCATTTTTTTAATTAGTTAATATAAGTGTGTACTTATTTCCACCGTGCATATCCTTATATTACCCTCCCTCTGTCTAGTTGTCTTTGTTGGAAACAAATTCTTGCTTAAGTATAACCAAATGCTACACGTATGAAGCTCGATCGAAACTTCATGTAATGGTCTTCCAGACGAACTTCTTAAATATCGCCTTGCTGCCGGCGCCATAGCGATAGACGAAACTTCTACTGGGCAGGAGCATGAGCCACCCAGCTTTTACTTTCCAGCCTCAGTAGAGTCCAAAAGCGTCTCCGGGTTCTTGTAGGGGACAAATAATTTTCCTTCTTACAACTCCTTTCTCACAGACGAGATGTCGCGAGCCCCTCGCTGCTCGATGATTATTTCCATGGTGAGTGTACACTCTTTACTTCCACCAGTTCTAACCTTCACAACTGAAATCCGTCATGCCACGCACATTGTAACGAACCACCCTTTTGTATTCCTACCAACCCTAACCTGTGGAACCGACTCCTAAGAGATTGCTTCCCCGATTACTACAGATATTTATTATATTACTAGAATATAATAAATATCCTTTATTAGAAATACCCAAATACGAAAACCTCGAAAATACGAAAGGTTTTTATGTGCTAACATGACTTGCCACAAATGGAAAATTTCAACTCAGACTACGTAGGCGCCAGTTTTTGTTTTGTTTTTTTTTGTTAGCGATCGTCACAGCAACACCTTTGTTCATGGATTACTTACCGTGTTCAGTATTATTAAAAAATCCTGCATTTATATGTTTTTTCGTAAGTAGTGATCATGTTTCTTTGTGCACGTACAGGAAACAAAACATTATTTTTACGTGAAATCTTAATTTCACGACCTCAAAATCCATGTAAGCATTACATGACTTGCGTCATTACCTGTATGTATGTATATATGTATGTATGTATATATGTATGTATGTATATGTGTATGCATGTATGTATATATGTATGTATGTATGTATGTATGTATATATGTATGCATGTATGTATATATGTATGTATGTATATATGTATGTATGTATGCATACAAAATTTATTAAATCTTATATAAAACTAGCTACAGGGTATATGTATAATATGTCATGAAATGTAAAGAGATATCGTGTTTATGCTTGGATTCCATTCCAAACTGCCCCATTTTATAGATGCTATTTATCAATTAACTAAGCTGTATTCCAAAACTCTGAAAACTGAAGAACTTCCGGTCCCAACAGTTTCGATAAAGGATTCTCAACTTGCAGCATAAACAATGGAGATGTTTTCAAATATATAGATAGATGTGTATGTTATGTGGAAATACTACATGTTATATAAAGGACTCGAGTATCCACGGATTTTGATTTTTCAGGCTTGCATTTTCTCACCGCAAGTCAAACTAACCTTAATAAACAGTTACGACGGTTGATCGGTAAATGAAACGACCAAAACTGTAAAACAATTTTCAGACCAGACAGAATAGTGAGATTGGTAACAAAAGAACGAAAATTTAGTTCTTTTCGAAATTCTATCTTATTTGCATAATTCAAATGCAGACTAATATTAATATCTTTGTTAATTTCACAACGTTTCGGCCCTTGTGTCCTTCGGCCTTCAACAGGTATCTGACGATCCGAGAAACATTCAGGGAATTTTGAACTGAAACCCTTTATTTCATCTACTGAGGCAGATTGTTCTCGTTCCGCTGACCATGCCAAGGGATATCTCATCTTGTTCTTTATTTTTACTAGTGTTCAGTAATTATTTGCCATATTTTCACAGAATCCTGAAAAAGACTAGAGGGCGCAACGACTGAAACGTTTTGATAATAACAAAAGCGAGGACATTAGTTTGAATGTAAATAATGTAAATAGTGATAACGTCACCTCCCAGAAATTCAGATAGATGGATTGATTTTTCAGTATTGCTACCATAGATAAATACATTCGAATCTATTATGTGTTGAACGTTCTATTTTCATTTGTACCCACTTCTTAATTGCTACCTTTGTATTTCCTTGGTAACAGGAAGTTCCATTCGGACAGCTTCTTACTCAGAACTGCCATTTTATGAAACAGACTCCGCAACAACTAGAATCTTAACCAATTCAAGTCTAGACATAACCGTTATTTATCTTACATATTCTGATAATATACACTTTTTTCTCCTTCCATTACGCCCTTAGAAAAGCATCTTCCAGTAAAACTCTATCTTGAGTGGCACTTGGGTCTTGTATTGGATGGGCATTGGTATAAACAAATGGCAGAATTTTTGTGCGAATATCTAGGACATAGTACTCACGACAAATGATCGCTATTAATCAATACCGGCACACGGTAAACTAAATAAACACATTTGGATAAGACTTTATATATTACCGAATACATGTTCAGTCATGTTTATATCTCCACTATTAGCGACGCCACACAGTCGGCAACCTTTCTTATCAGTCAGTCTCGATACATCCTGATTAGTTATATATTATATACACGCACACAGACACACTAACACATAATTCAAGTAAGGTTTACTAATTTCAGTGATATTCTCATTAAATATGTCTCACTTTAAAGAAAACTTTGAAACACCGGTTCCCGTACGATCAGCGAAGTTAAGCAACGTCGAGCCTGTTCAGTATCTAGATGAGTGGCTGCTTGGATGTGCGGGTGGTGTAATGGATAAAGAGAACCAAGTTCCAATTCCCGTTGTGTTCGTTTAGTTTAAATACACTTGAGAAAGGTGCGAATCCACCTCTTCTCCTCCCAGCTATGGGTTAATTAGTAAGACTTGTATCACTAAACTATTATTATATAAAAAAAATTCTTAAAATCTAAAATATTTTTTGGCTTTAAATAACCTCCAAATGGTTGATAAGCTGTAGAAAACCAATCATTCAACTAACCGATCCTTTGAAAGAAACATTGACAGTATTCAGTTAATGTCTGATAATATAAATGTTTATTTCAAGTTTGTTTCAAATACCTGCTGCTAACATGTTTTCGAAATCTGAGCAGTGAGAGCAAACCGAATGTAGTAGTGAAATGTGTTGCTTTTCTTTGCTAGATCGCTGCATATATATCGAAGAGAATTAATTAAAAAAAAGAGACTTTCTAAAGCTTGATTTCCATAGGAAGGATATTCGAGTAATACACAAACTCAACTTGGAACAAACTTCGTTCATCCGGCAGCAAAACCTCTGATCAGGAGAGTGGAGTTTTTTTTTAGGAGCGTGGGACCACCTCTTAACTGCTGTCGTTCACAGTTCCACCCTGATTCAGGGTGGTAGCATCTGTTAGGGTCCCAGCTATGGGCAAATAGTGACCACCCCCAAACAAATTAACATGTTATTTTTTATAGTAAAATGACCAAGAATATATTTTATAGCGAAATGACAATCAGTGCATGGTAAAAAAGTATTAAAATATATTTTCATAAAAAATTACTAACAGTATATTTTTGTAGTGAAATTGCCAGTAATATATTTAAAAAATACCAACAATGCATTTTATTATCTACAAACTATTTAAAAAATGTACTTTTTACCAAGAATGTATTAAATTATGCACAAAATATTTAGATTTTAGCATTAAATAACCCATAGAGATTGATATGCTTCCAAACAAAATCATCATCATCATCATCATTATCACCTTGACTTTTATAATCGTAGGAGGGTTCGAATGCAGAAGCCACACTGAATCTCTTCCACAATGGTCTATCAATGGCAGCCATCAGCAATTCCGCTATAGTCATACCTACCATTGTTTGACATTGTCCCACCAGTTTTTACGTTGGCGTCATCTCCTACGTCCATCTTCAACGATGTCTTGCATGATGGTCTTGCATGGGCTGTTGAGCCTTGTAACCTGCCGAAACCATCCCATTTTTCTCCGATTGACAGTTGCGAGAACAGGTTCCTGGTGGCCCTCCAAACTCTCAACCTTTTCCCGCACAAACATAACGTTTTTATGTTCCCAATACAAAGATGCCAAGGAGTTTTCTCATGCATTTGTTCTCAAAAGCTTGTCTCCTTCACTCTGTTTCTGCCAACATTGTCCTCGTTTCACATCCATATAGGAGAATGGAGACTACCAGCAATTTGTACAATCTGTACTTTGTTTGAAAGCTGATTTTGCTCCTCCATATTCTTGCCTACTTGGCTATCGCTGCGGCAATCCGTGTGCAGATTTCCGAGCTGAAGGTACCATCTTTAGACAAAATTGCTCCTAAGTGAATTCCCGTTCATGGTAATGTTGACACAGGTGTTACTATCTGTGCTATTCACCATTACTTTGGATTTCTCGGAGCTGACTTCTATTCCATAAGCTCCTGATCTTTCAAAACGTTTGTTGGTCAAGTCCTGAAGTTAACTCTTACTACCTGCTATGAAGTCAATGCAGATGACACACATACCATATCTAGTTGTCTGAATGACCACTTGAACTAAGCAGTACTTAAGTTAGTGTTTACACGTATTGTATCAGTGTAGCAATATGAGTTAAATTTAAGACAACTCGATACGGAACATTTACTTTCGACCGATGGCTATCAATAATTGGAGTCAACTTCAAAGTGCAAGACTAAAAGAAAGTGACGGAAGGAATATTATCATTTTTTGACGTAGATGATAGGACAAAGAAAACTGTCGTCTATAAATCTGACCATCCTGCACAAAGGAAAACAGAAGATACGAAGTGGGCCACGCATAAAGGCAGACCACGGTCGCTAAATTACGCACCCCGCCTTACTTACGCCTCAATCCGCCTTCGCTCGCTTATAGTTGTAAAGTACTGGTAAATCTGGCTTAATTCTAAAAATTGTTTTGTTCTTCACTCGTGGGAAACAATCTGGCTGTAGTGTAATTTTTGAAGCCACAAGCGTTTGACTGAAAGAAACTGCACCCTGAAGACGGATCTGGTATATGATCTGAACTGCCACGCAACAATCAGCAGCTGGACGCGATTTGTGCTGTAATGTCTATAGAATACTGAACTTGTGTTACTATCATATTATTTTATATTAATTTCTGTGTTAATACGACACGTTTTAGTTGGATATATGTGTGGTAATCTGCTGGAGGTACAGTAAGTGATGTGCAGTAATTGTTAGGGTTTGATTCCTATTTGTTTAAAACTCGGCGATAATGGTTTGCTTTTTATATCCGCGATATAAGTCGACCCCTAGTCTTTTAGTCTTGGAAACTCGACTTGTACGCCGCAAATTACGGTATTTGTATTTACAACCTTTTTCTCTTTCCTTTTTCTTTTTCTCTTTCTTTTTCTTTTTTCTGTCTCATTTTTCTTTTTTTCTCTTTCCTTTCACTTTTTTCACTTTTCTTTTTCTTTTTTCTCTTTCCTTTTTTTTTCTTTTTTCTCTTTTCTTTTTTCATTCACATTTATTTTTAAATCTCTGTATTTTTATTAATTCTGCTTCTTCCATTGGATTCATTGTTTTTTTTGTTTTTTTTTTCCTTTTTGGTCTACATTAATCTTTTCCATTTTGTTCTCTTTCATTCAGTTCTTTTACACTCCTTTGCAGGTATCATTTTTTCCCTTCCTTGTCTGTTACACACATCTTTCCTACAATCCCATCTCTCTCTCTATATATATATAACCTCACTTCAGTTCTCCTCCCACCTTGTTTTTCTCGCTCGTCGCCCTTCTCTCTATCTTTAGAATTCTACTGACATAGCGTCACCGTTACATAAAATGATGCTTTGATGACTACATTTTTGCTGGTGAGTTCCCTGCCCTTTTGAAGCGTATATTGTAAAGAACATCGACTTGATTTCCTAAGTGAGTATATTGTTCTAATCCAGTAAGACTCTTTTCATGACAGATTAATAAATTTTCATACATCAGAGACGTGCATGCGCTCAAAACTGAGAAACACTGGTCCCTAATTTTAATAACTTTCAGTACGTTTAATGTGAGTTCAGTGCTGTATGAAACTTATTGTTAATTTTATATAATAGTTTTATACAAGTGTTTTTTTTACTTTATATCTTGATTTTATCGCTGTTGCATTTATCATTTAGGGGTTCTTTTATTTGTTGAATCTTTGTCAAAAACACGATCTTTCAGAAATTCCTTCTTTCATTCTGTTATTGTTATTTATTACCAAATTCTTTAAAAATGTTGACTAAGCCTTTTTCTTTCGGTTGCCTATCTTTATTATTACTTTTTAAAATCTGTTTTCAGTCATTCTTTTTTATTTCCTTACTTTTTTGTTCGGTCATTTTATTTCGTTTATTTACTTTATTGCTTTCCTTTTTTTTCCTCTTTTCTGCTTCTTTCTTCATTTTTTTTTCTTTCTTTTTCTTTTTTCTCTCTGTTTTTCTTTGGTCATTTTCTTTCTTTCTTTTTTTCTGTATTTTTAAAATTCTTCCTTTCTTTCTTTCTTTACACACTTTTTCTTTCATTCTTACATTCTTTCTTTTTTTCTTTCTTCTTTACATTTTATGCCTTTCTTTCTCTTCGTTTTTTGTTTTCATTTGCTGCTCTTTCATTCCCACCCTCTATTTCTCATATTATATTCACTAGCAGCAGAATCGGTCTTCGACCGGGTGTTTCATTAATGGGAATTTTTGCAGATCAATTGGAGCAGTTTAAGTTTAAAGTCAGCTCACTCGAAAATCAGTATTAGGAACTACAATTGGGTGCAACTTTGGCACATCCTCAAATGGGGAGGTTAACCATTTGAATAGGTGGGTAGCCCAGAAAAGGGCCGTTTTTGCGTTCTCAATCTTGCAAGGAAGGAACCTCTTCCATGGACCGTCATATTAATAATAGACGATAATTTTTATTTATAATATATGTTTCTTTATAATTTTAATAATCGTTTGCGTTAGATTTCAACTCTCTAAATTGGCTGTACGCTGTTTTTTACAGACATTAAATTTTGCCTGTTTTTTCGATTTTTCGCCTTCAAGGATTTGGACTCAGAACCGGCACTGAAGAATTATCTATCAAACAAAAAAAAGAAAATGCATCGAAACTGATGAAAACTGTGAAAAACGAATAAACAACATCCGATCACACACACACACACACATTTTAAGAAGTATAGATATAGATTACATTTTCAGGTTTTCTTTGCAGATATGTTAATTAATAATAAGTAATTATAATTATAATTAATTATTATTTATAATTATATTAATGATATTAATAATAATAATTATTTATAATTTATATAATTAACTATATGAATTTAACTGTATAATGATAAATAATATTATGGTAATAATTTAAACTACTTATTTTTTATTAAAGTTTTTATGAAAGATATATATCCAAGGACAGATAGTAAAACGTTGCTGAGAGTTATAATGGACTGGAAGTAGTGGAGAGTCATCGTCGCCAAAAATTTGGACTCAAAACCAGCACTGAAGAATTATCTATCAAACAAAATAAATTTCAACGAAATCGGATGAAAACTGTGGAAACGCATAAACATCCGATCACACACACACACACACACACACGCGTACACACACACACACACACACACGCGCGCGCGTACACACACACACCCACACACACACACACACACGCGTACACACACACACACACACACACACACATACACATACATTTTGAGAATTATAGATATAGATTAATTTTTCTCCTTTTTTCTTCACTCTTTCTTTCTATTTCTTTCGATTTTATTTCC